CATGAGGTGCGAATGACAATAAAGAAACTCTGACTCTGACTCTGACTCTGACATTATGGGTTTTCCTGAGCTGGATTGCAGCTTGTGATACATCTGAAATGTACACAGCACTCATGAGGGGCCTTTGAAGCTGCCAGATTTGAGGATTGGTCAGTACCTCATAGCGAGCCCGAGGCTGTTTTTGCTTCATCACAGCAATCACACTTTGTCCAGGCGTGCATGATTTGTCACCGAACTCAGACCCAACAACATAATGTGGTCATATGGTGAACAGAGAGTTCATATAAAGGTCTTTGGGGCGTTTGAGAAAACAAGTGGGTCAGTTTTTTACAGGTGCTTACCCAGTCTCTCACTCCAAATGCTGTTTGTGGAGATTCAGTCATTTGAATATGAGAATTTGAAGAAAGAACAAAGTAATATTCTAAAATCATTCAGACCATCAACAAAGCATGCAGCTTGAAGGCATATTTAGAACTCCTATACATGAAACACTTTGCATATTGTCAGCTTCATTGCAGAAAGATATTAAACACAAACTATTTTAAATTTGTTGATTAACTTCTACATCTTATTTTGTCTGTCTAATTTTTTAGGTCCACTGACTACGGTACAACATACACCAAGATCAACTTGGTACCAGGAACAACCATTGTGGTGACAAGTTTCTTCATCTGTCCAACCAACAAGAAAAAGGTAAGGCCATTTAAAATGAATTTTCAAAGTTGGCTTTGATTTTACCAATATACTGCCAATAGAAATTCTCCTCCGTAATGAAATGTCCCCTTTAAACAAATTTATTTGGGGTAAAGATTGTGACTTTGTAGAGATCTAGTAGAGCGCTGTATGAATGGGTAAATGAGGACACAGATTGTGTTGTAAAGTGCTTTGAGTATCTTAAAATACGATAGAAAGATGCTATATAAGTACAGTCCTTTTACCATTTACCATTTACTTTGTGTATGCAAGTGTAGAATGCTGGTCAACTATGTCATGGCAACTGTGGTCCATTAAGTTTTTGTTGGACCAGACCAGGAGGTGGACATGAGGTCACGGAGACCAACAAGTCCGCTTTTAGTCTGCTCAATATCAGCATAATATATATATAAAAAAAAGTTTACTTTGGCTTTAATAAAAGTCAAATTAGTAACAGAATTACACGTTTATTGTCTCTCGTCTTCCACACAATTGCTGTTCTTAGCTGACTTTGTAAACACTGTTAGAAACACTGTTTATACGTCTTTTAATCTCATCAGCTGATGTTTTCGTATCATATTTTTATATGGCGTGCTTAACTCATTTGCAGAGCTGTTTATAAGAACGGATCAGAGATCAGACATGCTGATTAGAATTGTAAGAAGCATTTGAGAACAGAAACGTCATTTAAAACAGTTTGTAAACTAGACTTGTGACATTAGAACATCTGTTTGTAGATATAAATGTGACAAAGTCTGATCTGTGTCTCTAAACTTTCTCATTCCACTTTGATCATCTATGGACATTCTAAATAGAACAGAGGAAGGATTCACTGGTAGGGACATTTTAGATTTGGTTGGTCCATTTTACACCCAAAACACAAAACATATTGGGATGATCTGTAACTCTCAGTTGTACATACCAGTAGGTGTGGGTGGGTGAGAATGTGAATGGTTGGCTGTCTTGTTTGTTTCTGTGTGGCCCTGTGATGGACTTGCGACTTACCCAGGGTGTACCCTGCCTTTCACACAATAACTACCTGAGATAAAGACACCAGCTCCCCTGCAACCCTGCACAGAAAAACAGGAAAAGAAAATGGATGGATGGACGTTTTAAGCAATGTGATGTCTGGTGCAAGAACTGGCTCTAATGCTTGTCCTAGTCTAACACTTGAACCAGCTTAGTGGAAAAAACACTAAAAGACATTTTAGATGAAAGGTTAACTTCAGATTAATAGTGAGTAATCAGTTAAAATGGGTGTCCAGTTGCTTTCTATTGAGGCACAGTTATTATTAGTCTGGTTCTCTGATGAAGATTTTACAGGCTTTGTGTCAGTCAACCAATTTTTTTGCATCTTTATTAACAGCACTTCCATGTAAAGCACATTCTGTTGTTTTACTAGAAGCACTGTCTGAATGACATGCAATGAATCACTGACAGAAATTTATATAGTTTTTTGGTGCTAGATCGCTTATGTCAAATTCCTTTTTACTCATCTTTATATAGTGCATCATTTGGTGCGCAATCCTGCACCCCTTGGTTTCATGTACTTCCACCCAATGTACAGTCATTCAGTCCACAGGCATCAGTAACTAAGTGAATTTCAACAAGCAGACAGCAGATAAGGTGGACTAATAAGCTACAGTAGAAGACTTAAGCTAAGATGCAACTGGACTTCAGACTGTGATACTGTCTTATTGGTGGATGTTATCACTGTGATCCAGAGTCCCTCCAATCGATTCAAGAAATGGGCAACGATTAGATGAAGTAACTTTTTTTTCACTTTCCACTCCTGTCCCCACTACAACTATCCAAGAGGTATCTGCCATTTTCAAACACACACACACAAATACACAGCCGACACAAAGAGCAGACAGCATGAGAGCATTTAATTGCATGGGAATGAAGTCATCCCAATTCCCCTTGGGGACACACAGAGATGGTGGATCGGGAGTGACTGGCGTTTAGAGAGTGTGTTGTGACAGTAGGATGTCTCGTAGGAGGCACAGGGGATCAAGTTGGTAATTAAACTCACCCCTAGGCTTGTCAGTAGGAAAGGGAATGATGGGAGCTCAGGTTTAGTGCTGCACTCTGAAATCAGAGTGTGTAGACATTATGTGATCTGTGGTTCTGGGAAAATCACTGCTGTATGCACATGATGGACAGACTACATCTGAAGGTTCATTGGAAGATCATCAATTGTTTTGATGACTCTAATAATGCAACAATTAGTTTACTTCTTTCCCCCAAAATGTTTGAATTGAGGTTGTAAGGTGATGGTAATGCATCAACACGTCTTAGCAGACTTGGTTCAATGGTGCTAATAGTGAAAAGAAACCAGCAGATGAGTGGGTCTGTGAGAGCTTTTCCACGTTTACAAGAATTGTGAAGGGACCACATGGAAAGGGTGTGACAGGCCTCAGGTAATCAATAAGTCTTGAGGCAATTAGAATGAGAGGTGAGTCTTCAGTCAGAGACTATGTTATCCACTCTTTCTCCATTAAAGATACACTCAAGACCTTTCACACGGGAAAGCTCCCAAGGACGCTTGACAGTTTTCAGTACCTAAAGATTTGTAAATAAACTTCATGACCTCAGACTTTTCTTCAGCAATTTACTCTACTGTCTCTCCAGAGAGCTGTCAGATGGGCAACGTCTTCTCCATAATCTGTTTTCTTGTTAAGTGTTTACTGTGTGGTCTAAATTAAGATTCAAATACATGCAAATACAGTAGCTTCCTTTCTGGGGGTATTTTCCTGTCAATCATTTTTGGCAAGAAGGCAGAAGCTCTCGCTTTTTACTGATTTCAAATTAGTTAGATTATTTTTTCAGCTTTATATGTTGGCTACATGTCGGTGGTAGAAAGTAGTTTTAATTTTAAACGATCAGCGTTATTAATATAATGTACTGTTTGTTTCTTTCAGAAAGAAAATCAACATTGTTTTACTTGGATTGTGCCTCAAATTAGGCTAAAATTCAAGATATAAATCTTTCTTCCTCTTTCGGCTGCTTCCTTCTTCAGGGGTCACAACAGAGAACTAACTCTCACAATTGTTTTTATGCAAAATGCTCTTCCTGACCCAACCACAGACCACCGAGCTACCACAACCCTCTGTGTGGCGCAGAAGGCTGTCATCTAGTGCACCTGGTGGAGCAGATTGGGGGGGGGGGGGGGGGGTGTTAAGGGCCTTGCTCAAAGGCCCAGAGTGAGGCAGGTCTGGGTGTTTCACCCTTTCCACCCACATTTTGATGTTGTCGGTATGGGGAGTTGAACCGGCGATCTTCCGATCACAAGCCCACCTACTCTATCCACTGCCCCACCACTCCCCACCAAAATTCAAGATATAAATATAATTTATAAATCAAACTGTATATAATACAGTAAATGACTACTCAAATCAAGCCAAGGTTATTTATTGTTATTCACATCTCATGTGGTACATGAGGTGGAACAAAATTGTGTACACAGGGTCCCAGTTACATCCAACAATAGCAAAAATATAAATTGTAAAAACAAACAGTAAATAAGGATCTAAGATTTAAGCAAAGATATTCTCTAAACGAATGCCCAATGGTACGCTAAAAGATCTAAGATATATGCCAGTCACTAATAGTGCAAAACAATAGACCGAACAACAGCAGCACAATTCTCATAGGTTCTGTTCGGCTATAATGTACACACTTAATGCAAGCACTAACATAAACAAAACTGACATAAACTAGGATTCATTCAAGGCATGCAACAAAAATACAGAAACAAGGTGCCAAAAGTGAAAAATAAATAAATCTACAGCAGCATAGTCCTATTGGCAGGGTTGTTCTGATTACAGTGAGGTTATCTTAGCAACATGGTTCTGTTGGCACCATGGTACTGTTTGCAGTGTGGATTGGTTAGCGGCGTGCTCTTATTAGCAGCGTTAGCAGGTCTTGTTAGCAGGTCCAGTCAGCAGCTTGATGATAAGGACCACAGTAGCTGCCTCCCAGACTGCCCTCCAGAATCGGGTCTGGCAGACAGAGAACATTCAAGGTTTCCCCGTGGAACCGAATGGGTCTGTAGAGTTCGGTTCATGCAGGCAAATAAAGTAAAATAAAAAAAAGAAGCCAAATTATAGGAAAAGGAAACTAAAGCTTTCATTAGTGATGTGCAACAACACCTCACTCTCACCCTTTCAAACCCCATACACATTAGGGGGAGTGGTGGCACAGAGATTAGAGAAGATGGGCCTGTGATCGGAAAGTCGCAGGTTCAACTTCCGGTACTGTCAACATCAAAATGTGGGTGGAAAAGGTGAAACACCCACATCTGCCTCCACCCTCATTTTCCCCACTCTGGGCTCCTGAGCAAGGCCCTCAACCCCCACCTTCTGCTCCCTAAACAGGTCTCTCTTGAAAATGAGTTCACGTGACTCAATGAGACTACCTGTTTAAATAAAGGCTAAATTAAAAAAAACATACGTCACAACCACACAAGTACCAGTACACATTTATTTAAAAAAAGTTTGCTGTTGCAAAGGGAGTCTTTCAAAGATGGTCAATGGGTAATACACGGCCAGTACAACTACACATCCTACTGGTGTTTCTATGCAGATAGCTCACAACGCTACTACACTTGTTTAGAACAGTTAAAATTCATCTTAAACACATCATTTTTCATCAGTTATCATAGCAAAGCAGACCAAGACACATGAACTACAACACACAAATTAAATTGAACACAATCCATAAACATTCATGCAGCAAGTGTCTGTGTATGGGACTAAAGTGAAAATAAATTAGTTCAGTGAAATGGACTACAGCACTGTTTTTAATTGCTCCTAAATTTCTTTGGCTTAAAACTTCTGGATGTCCGAGAGGATTTCCCAGTATTAGGGTCTGAGGAGAACTTCCGACCGAGCCATCAAGGTCTCCTTGAACAGCCTGCAGATTAATTTCCTAGTCCTAATGCCTGGAGATGCATGAAAGATAACCATTTGTGCTCGAAGGTGCAAATTTAATACCTG